AATTTCAAAAGGAATGAACTACTGGTGCATACAGTAGCAAGCAACACTATAGATGAACATCAGTGCAAAAAGGATCAGTGTATAATTCCATTTTTATGATGTTTAGAGACAAATTGAAGCAAATGTGATGATGGCAGAAAGTGACTGGGAGAGGGGAGAACCTTCCAGTAAACTAGAAGTGCTCCATATTTTCATCTGGAGCTAATTTTGTGCATAGATGGAGATATAGAAAATGATTTCAGCCTACATTTAAGAATTGTGTACTTTACTGTACATAAATTACACCTTCTTAACCAAAAAATGCCATTTTTACCTTAAATATTCCCTATCCTTGAATAATAAATTTATTCATTTGTTAATTTATCCATTTCATTGAATGCCTGCTACAGTGCTAAGCATGAAGAGCATGCCACCATCACTAAGAGTTTTGATGCCAGTGGAGAAAATCACTTCATTGGTAATACTGTTTGTTTGATAATAAAACACACATCACCTTCTGATACCTCATCTGCCCTTTTCCCCAATTATTGGTATTTTATATTTATATAAATTTTACTTAAATTTGCAGCTGGTCTAAATCAGAACGTACATTCCTTGGTTGTTCCTAATCTTCCTGTACCCTTTAATACCAAGCATACTAATATTTTGGGTTTGGAGAAACCCACTATGGAACTAATTCTCAATCAGAAAAGATACAGTCTGCTTTAAAAATCAAAGGTTAAAAAAATTTTTTTTCATCTATTTTCATTAAAAGTTCGGAACTAAAAATGACTAAATCTGGTATCAGGTGCTGGATTTATAAATGTTGCATGGAATTTAGATATACTTTCTCCAGCTCTGAATTTCAACTATTTGATTCTCCACCCAATATTTGCCATATTTTCCCAAGTTAATCTTAAGAAAAAGCAAGAAATCGAAAAACTTGTAAATTCCAATTAGTTTCTCCCACCTATTTTTTTCCAGAACGTTTCTAATTAAGACTATCTTATATAAAGCAGTTTTAGGTTCACAGAAAAAATGTGGGGAAGGTACAGTGATTGCCCACTGCCACACATGTAGTGTTAATAGTCTCCCTGTTACCAAAACACTCACCAAACTGTACCTTTATGACAACTGATGAACCTACAGTGAAACATCATCACCACCCAAAGTCCACAGTTCATCTGAGGGCTCACTCTTGTGTATCCTTTGGGTTTGAACAAATGAACAGTAACATGTCTCTGTCATTATGGTACCACAGAGTGTTTTCACTGCCCTCTAGATCCTCTGTCACATGCCTACTTATCCCTCTCTCTCTCTCCTAAGCCCTAGCAATGACTGCTCTTTTGACTATCTCCATTGTTTTGTCTTTTCCAGAATGTCATAGAATTGGAATCATCTAGTATGTGGTCTTTTCAGATTAGTTTCTTTCACTTGGTAAAACTTCATTTCACTTAAATTTTCACAATGTCTTTTTATGGCTTGATAGCTCATTTCTTTCAGCACTAAATAATATTCCATTGTCTGGATCTATGAGTTTATTCATTCACCGACTAAAGGACATATTAGTAGCTTTCAAGTATTGACAATTGTGAACAGAGATGCCCTAGTAGCTTTCAAGTATTGACAATTATGAACAGAGATGCCCTAGATATCCAAGTGTAGGTATTTGTGTGTGGATATAAGTGTTCCATACTTTGCGTAAATACTAAGCTGTATCTTATGGTAAAAATATGGTTAGTATTGGGCCTTCCTAGTGGCCTAGGGGTTAAGTCTTAGCACTACTACCATGATAGCTCTCCTCACTGGAAGTGGCCTGAGTTCAATCCCCTCAACCAGGGAGTTGACCCACATGGCACAGCAGACCTCTCCTATCTCACCCACTGCTCCCCTCAGCAGTGTATTTCAGTAGATCTGCCTGTTCTGCTCCACACTGTCCTCTCACCCCTCCCCCAACCATGTACCTCTGCGCTACACCCCAGTTCTTCTACACAAAAATAAATAAATAAAAATCTTACAATAAAGGAATAATTATTAAAAAAAAAAAGAGCATGTTTAGTTTTATAACAAACTGCCAATGCACTCCAAAGTGTCCTTCCATTTTGTGATCCCACTAACAATAAGTGAGAATTCCTGTTATTCCATATCCGTGCCAGTATTTGGTGGTGTTCATATTGGATTTTGGCCATTCTAATAGAAGCACAGCAGTTCCTCACTGTTGCTTAAAAATGTTTAATAGCATGTGATGGGGAACATCTTTTCATGTGCTTATATGCTATCTCTATATCTTTGGTGAGATATTTGTTAAAGCCTCTAGCCCATTTTTAAAATAGGATTATATTCTTATTGCACAGCTTTAAGAATTCTCTATATTTTGGGTAAGTCCTTTTTAGGTCCCTTTCACAAATATTTACTCTTACTTCGTACCTTATCTATTCATTCTCTTGGAAATCTTTCACAGAGAAGTTTTTAATTTTAATGGAGGTTAGTTCCTTCAACTTTAATGTACTAAATCCTATAGTTGTACAGGAAGGCAGTTAAGGTATTTTCTGTTGAAATATGAAAAGGAAACCTGTTCTTATAGCACTGCATTTTACTGATCTCTACTTCAAAATGTTAACATTCCCTTTCAAAAAATAAACATTATAGTTAAATAAACACAATGACACTTCACTTATCTATCTTGATTCATGAAATACTCCTCATAGAGACAGACTCTGAAAAATAATAATGATGAAATTGACTTTTGCTAACATTTTGATACTAACCTTAATAACTAGTAAATCTGCAATTTTGCTCATCAGAATTCTGTTTTACAATATGCATTAAAGAAAATTTAATACTCAATCTGGGAAGGTACTACCTAACATTTATTGTAGTTATTCAATTTGAAAATTAATATACTTTCAAGACTAGCATTTTAAACCTGTAGGGTCAGCAACCTGTATAGCAAAACAAACAACAAGCAAAACAAAAACCTCTGCATTTAATTCTGAATCTCCCTATGAAATAATAAAATACTACAAGTCTACATCTTCAAGTAGAACATGCATGTGTTTTTGCCTTAGGCATCAACTGTGTCACGTAAACACACATACCTTCCTGAATAAGCCTCCCTGAGTTTCTCACCTCCACTCTACCTTGGAGAAAAGTCATAAAAACAGTTGTCAAGGGACCCTCCCTGGTGGCGCAACAGATTAAAGCACAGCACTATGAAGCTATCCAAAGCCACTGCAGCATTCTCCTGACCCACCTGCTGCTCCCCCTCAGCAGTGTGTTTCAGCCAATCTGCTTGTTCTGCTCCCACTCTGTCTCTGATGAATTCTCTCACCCCTCCCCCTGCATCTCTGGTCTGTACCCCAGTTCTTGTATGCATAAATAAATAAATCTTTAAAAAAATAGTTGTCAAAATGTCTTGCAAATTAATGACATGAGGGTCTCTTGACCAAGAAAGAAATCAGAACCACCATGGGGGTGAAGGGTTGGCCTGCAGTGAATTTTGCTTTGTTTTCATAAATCGAGTTTCTGGTTTCTGGAGATAAAAGCCTTTTTTCAAAAACAGGAAAGTTCAAAGTAAGAAAACAGTTCCAAAAGGGTCAGGCGAAGTTGAAATTTGCTCAATACAAAATTCTCATTTGAAGTGCTATAATCTGTTTTCTGATCTCTTCACAGCAAGGCCCCCGGCCATTTTTTGTAGTGCTGAAGTCATGAAGAACATATTTGAACTTTCTTGAGCTTGTTTTCTACTTAGACATGTTCAAATGCATCTTTTGTAAAAGGGCAAAGGCAAAGGCAGAAAAACAGACCATCTAACATGTGAGCTCCTATTCTGTGAATTGATAATTACGTCCTAACTAGCACTTTCTCTGTAACAGTCGTTGGTTATCATCCCCTACTTTGCAATTAGTCATATTTTTCAGTAATCTTCAATTAGCATTGGAGCTCAGTCTTATGAATGAATTCATGAATAGTATGAACTCAGGAAGCACTTTACTTTAAGGTAAAATTTCCTAAATTTTTTCTCTGAAAAGGCCTAGAATTAATGACTATCCAAACAGCAATCACCAGCTGGAACGTTTACACTGGTCTTAAAATATTATTTCCATTGAAAGGAACCAAAACTCCTTGGAAAATAGTCAATTTAGGGTCTGGGAACAAAAAGTATGAGTCAGAACATCTTGTCTATCAAAGGCTAGTAGGTCTATATTATAAGTAGATAGATGAATAGATGATAGATAATTAGGGAAGTACATGCACACTAAACCTACAGCACAGAAGCCAATCAGAAGAAGCTCCCCTAGCTAACAATACACAATGGATCATCAAAGAGAACAATGACTACAGGTGGACTGAAACATCAAATATGCTAAATCCGTAAGCTCGTGACAATCTTTAAAAAGAAAATATTAGTCACCTGTGGAGGAGACTTGTCAATAAACTCATTTTAAAACTGGTAAATATGGCTCTCCCTGGTGGTGCAATGTTTTAAAACACAGCAAGAAGAAGCTCTCAGGAGCCACTGCAGCGTGAGTTTGATCTCCAGCCAGGAAAGTGACTCACATGGTGTGGCAGATCTCTTCTGAGCCACCTGCTGCTCCCCTCTGCAGTGTATTTCAGTAGATCTGCCTGTTCTGCTCCCCATTCTGTCTCTGGTGGACCCTCTCACACCCACCTCATCTCTGGCCTATACCCCCAGTTCTGTAAGCATAAATAAATAAATCTAAAAAAAAACAGTAAATAGAGGGAAAGAATCAACACTCATCCTGCTTTTCAACTACAAGCCACATACCTCAGCATAATTCAGGCCTTTATAGAGGCATTCCAGCCAGTGACTAAAGACTGAGAATTAGAAGCTTACCATTCTGCATCTCCTGATGAATGAATAAGAGCTCAGCTTGGTCTCCAATGGCTGCTATCATTACTAGAGACCCATTTAAAATTCAGTATGGGGCAACGAATCATCCAGTGTTGATTCAAACTTAACACAGTCTACAAAGGGAATAAAATGAGGTGAATTTTACCTTTTGGGCTCTTTTCCTTCCCATCAGTTAAAGAAACTGCAAGCAATTCAGCAACAAGAGCTGCTTAACTTCTTTTTGGAGAAGAAATTGCCACCTGTTAAAGAAGCCAGAGGCACCTATAAATTAGTTCATCCTTGGGTTCACTGCTCTAACTTTCCTATCTAAATTATTATAAATTTCTTCCCTAAAAGCTAAAAGCAAGGATAATGTTGCCATTTATTTTTATTTTACTTTTTGATATGTGTTATCCTTCTCTAACCTAAAAGAGACATAATTGAGTTAAAAAAATCAGAGAAAATTCCTTACAGAAGAAAAACTCATTTGGATTTAATTCTACTGTTGAGTCTTCACTGATTTCTTTAAAATGAAATGAAATGAAATTAAACGCCAGCTCTGGATACAGTAATTCAGCCATTATTTTGATCATTTCTCTTCTACTTAATTAGCAAAACCAAACCATTAAGTATTCCCATTAAAAATGACGAGACAGGTAAATGGCTTTCTGTATCTTACAATTATCAGTACTTGACCTTAAAAAATGAGCACAAATTCAAATGGAATTTGATCAAGTAACCTTCCAAAACACATAGACAGAGGCATTAGGAGAAATGAGTATCAGGCCTTCGGGTTGGGGACACAAATGACTCAGCAAGCCACAGGCAAGCTGCAGTGCAGGGCGTCCTCCACCACCAACCTTCCAAACAGAATCAGTTGTGACCAGAGGGAATGATGGATTCTTCCTACAGGAAGAAAAACTGCTCATCTCTCCACTTGACTTTGAGCACTGATTAGACGAAGCCGGAACATGAGTTTTTCAAGATCTCATTCAGGGTGTCATCTTTCCGTAACTATGCAATGGAGATACGGGTCCCTCTCCACACATAGCACTGAATGCTAGGTCAAAAGACTATGAAACTGAAGACAGCTTCATATGAGTGATTCCATCCCTGTGACATTCAGGAACAAGCAAACTAATCTCAAGTAGGAAAAAAAAAATTACAACTGAAGTTACTGAGGGAGGATGGGGAGCTGACCAAGAAGGGACATGAGGGAACTTTCTAGGAGATGGAATTATCATGTCAGGGAGGTAGGTCACAAAACTATACAGCTAAGATTAGAGCTATTCAGTGAATGTAAACTTTAAGAAACTATAGAAAGCATTGCCATCATTGTCATGTGGGGGTAAGAGTTGATGGAGATGAAGGTGATGTAAGATGGGGAATATGGAGCCTGTTATAGAAGGGTGCTGGGACCCTGGGGGCTCACTCTACTATTCTGTTTATTTTGTCAATACTTGAGAGTTTCCATGCTAGAGGTCATTTTAAAAGACTAGAATTTTAAACACGATGTCCATTACTTAATAATTATTAGGATGCTGGGCATCTCAATCTCCCTGAACCACTGCTAATTTACTTGTAAACTGCAGAAAACAACCCTGGGTGGCTGCTAAGTAGCAAAAGAGCAATGATTACAAAAGTGGCTTCGAGGCCCTCCCTGGTGGCACAGTGGGTTAAAGCACAGCACTAAGAAGCTAAAGCCACATCCACATGAGTTCGATCCCCGCCCCAGAGGTGATCCGCATGGCGCGGCAGACCTCTCCTGACCTGCCTGCTGCTCCCCTCAGTGTACTTCATCAGTTGGCCTGTTCTGCTCCCCACTCTGTCTCTGGTGAATCCTCTCACTGCCCCTGCACTTCTGGCCTGTACCCCAGCTCTCTATACGTTACAGATAAATAAGTAAATTAGTAATACAGAAAATTTGTGAATTATTAATAGACCACATCTCAGGATAGCATGTCTAAAAAAACTCATGTATATATTTCTCTTAAGAAAAATATTAGGTGTATCTAGCTATTTTTCAATAATTACTACATGGAAAAAAAAAAACAACTGATCGGCCAAGAGTGTGATTAACACAAATGTTATTTATATTAGGTTACAAAGAATACCTTCTTTTTCTTTTTTTTTTTAGCATAACCTCCTAACAGTACAAAATTTAAATGTTTAAATTTAAATGGTGGTACATGGGGAAAAGGGCAGCACAAATTCAATCCCCAGCCAAGGAAGTGACTCACATGGTGTGGCAGACTTCTCCCGGCCTTCCCACTGCTCCCCTCAGTCAGTCTACCTGTTCTGCTCCCTGCTCTGTCTCTGACCCCCTACAACTCTGGCCTGTACCCCAGTTCTTGTATACATAAATAAATAAATCTTTAAAAATAAAATTTAAACCTTTAGGAAAAGTTTCCTTTTCTTGCGGATACATCAACTTAATGGCTGGGAGAAGCTGCGTAAAAGCACATTTCAAAAACAGAGGTGGTTTGGAACATTAAATGATACAGATAATTCACATGTCCAAAATTGACACTCAACTATTATAAAACCTACTGAAGCTAAACCACCCAAAATAATGTTTATGAGTTCCTATAAAATCACTTTCAGATGAGACATTGACACTTAATTGGAATGAATTATATTTAGAAATTAGAAAACCTCACAGTTGACCCTGAAATATTAAGACATTTATCTATTTAATGAAAGAACAGAGGGCATATGGACTATTCCTTTAATGTATTTATTTTTTCAATTTGTTAGGCTAACCTTAAACTGTCACAACTACCACAAAATTCACCTGGTCCTAAGAGTGAATAACGAGTGAATGTCGTGAGTGTAATTTCACATCTCAGCCTCCTCCCCAGCAGTCAGAATGTACTCTGAGAAAACAAACAGAGAGACAGCCGTTCTGGCCAAGTTTCGAAATAACATAAGCATGTCAGAGTGATCATTTTGGGAGTTTTTTTAGGTCGTTTTAAATTATTTTATATATACTTTTTACATTATTTTTCATTTTGTACATTTTCCATCTCAGTTGTAACCCCCGTGGACTTCCCACCACCACTCACCCACGTGCCATCACCATAGTCCCGTGTGCTCTTCCCACCCCCATTTTGATCCTGTTTCCTCTCCTTCCCTTTAGAATGTCTCAGGTTGACAGTTGTTAGCTGATGTTCATTTTTACTTTATTAATACATGTGTGTGTATAATTTTTTTTTCCTGATCCCTTACATTCCTGCTATGAGTGAAACCATCCGCTATTTTTCTCCTCTGGCTTATTTCACTAAGCATGATCTTTTCCAGAGAGATGTTTTAACTAAGCACATTCTATTTTAAAAATAAATGGTTGTCGGGGGGGGGGGAGGGAGGGAAATGCATGGGACTATGGTGGTGGCACAGGGGTGATTTGGTGATGGGAAACCCGTGGGGATTACAATTGAGATGAAAAAAAAAGTGCAAAATGATGTAAAAATAAACTTTTTAATAAAAAAAAATAATAAATGGTTGTAAGAAAATCACTTGGAAAAATTTGGGACATTAATCTTATCTTCAAACAATAGGTGTAGGTACCCAGCATCTACTTGCAGCATTCTACCATCTTCTACGATCTAGTGTAGGGGAATAGGTTCCTCTCAGCTCTCTTCTTTGACCTGGCCTTTCAGTTCTGTAAGAATAATTTGGTGTACTCCTGAGGGACCTCAAATGCTGAGTCCAGTTCTTCCACATGACTTCCCTAAAATGTGCTGTCGACTCCCCGCCAACTGCTGGGCTTTAAAATGGACTGAAAAAGGCCACAAGACCTGAACTGTTGTTTATGAAGTGAATAAACAAAGCATCACTAAACTAGACTGCTGCTTCTTCCTTTGCTATAGTAGAGCATATTACACAATACTGCAGCAAAAAGGCTGATGACTTCAGGAAAAATCAAGGCTTCAAGCTGGAAGTCCCCAATCCAGCTTCACAATCTAATTTCAGTAAGGCTTTCAGTTTATCTTCCCTTCTACAGTCTGACATCTCCTATGCATGGAAAGGGTATTTTCTTTAAGGTGCTATACTTTTTTCTCCAAATATGAACTCTTGACTTTCTCCCCGTGAATACGTCACAGAGATGTACAGCTTCTCTAAAAGCCTTTGGAGTCTCATCACTGCCCATGTGGTCCAACAGCCAAGGGGCTCAATATCGCAACTGTTGCCCTAGACTCTGATTTGACCCTCCTTCTAATAGAGAAATCAGACATCAAGAGCAAATCACAGGATGATGTGATCACCAAGGCTTGCATTAATTCCAAGGGTTTTTGGAATAGGTGACTTCTTTATTTCTTTTAATAGATATACAGTGTGTGTTGCATTTTTTTTTAGGTTTATTTATTTATGCCTACAGAACTGGGGTACAGGCCAGAGGCACAGGTGCAGTGAGAGGATGCACCAGAGACAGCATGGGGAGCAGAATAGGCAGGTTGACAAGTACCCTGCTGAGGGGAGCAGCAGGCCGGCCAGAAGAGGTCTGCTGCACCACGTGGCTCACCTCTGGGCTGGGGATCGAACTCATGCTGCAGAGGCTTTAGCTTCTTAGTGCTGTGCTTTAACCCGCTGCACCACCAGGGAGGGCCCAGGTGACTTCTTTTAAGTTCATTTTTAACTCTGAATTCTATCATTCAGAAAGAAACACTGAAAAGTGAGAGAACAGAGGAATTTATTGAGAGTGGGGAGTCTGTTAGAAAGGAAGTTCTACTGGATTTTGTACTGAACCTTTCCACTTCCCCCAAATTAATTTGCATTTTCAAGTTTCATTGGGACATGAAAGAGAAACATGGGGTTGGGGAGGGCTAGATAACAGGTATATAAACCTTAATAATCTCTCTAGTACACAATCAGCCAATCAATGGGGGCAAACCAACAGAGTACAATGGGGTCTATAAAAACAGCACCTCGAAAATTTCTGTTTCAGAAAGCACCAGCAAGTAAAGAACTGGATACCCCCAAACCTTTCACAATCAAGTGGAGGTTCTGTTTCAAAATACTGATACTTAAAACATCCACCCACTCCTACCAGTTCAGACTCTCTGATATGGGCCTGGAAATGAGAATATATAAAAAGGCCCTTGGGTGGATGCCAGGCTGTGAAAACTTATCCTAGATGCCACCACTGACTAGTTTTCCTCAATTTTCAACTTGTGAGCACCAGGTAGGACATCTAGTTATATCTGAATGTTAAATAAATATCTTTTAGTATATCTCAAATAATGTATTTTATATTCAACTT